CAACTGCTTTGTTTGTTTTCATGTTACTTACTATTTCTACTAGATCTTCCTCGGTCATTTCAGGGAGATACATTGAGTTTCCAATTCTAGCTCTAGTTTCCGTTTTATTTTGGTATCTATGATTGAAAAGTAATTCTATTGATTGTATAAATTCGTTATTAAAATCATTTGCTATTTTCTCATCATTGCAGTATGTCCCAAAGTTCTTTTTGATTGTTTGATCTATTGACAGTCTAGTGTTTCTCCCCAGTACTTGATTAATTACAGACCAACATTGAGATGGATCCTTGGTGTCTTCAAACTTTTTCCAGAAATAATTTCTTTTCTCCTTTTTTATTATTGATGTCACTTTATTTCTTATGGATCTGTACTCTTCCTTGCGTTGGCTGCTTTCTGGACTGCTTTTAAGTAGTCGCCACGCTTTGTTTTTTTTCCTGATTAGTTGATCTATTTCTTTTGTCACCCATTGGTTCCCTGTTTTCCTTTTCTTTACGGTGACCTGTTCAGACGACTTTTTATATATATCCGTAAACGCATTTTTTTATTTTATTGTATATCATTTCGGGGTCTTCTTCATTGGCTATGCTTTCCCAGTTTATCTCTCTCACGTATTTATCTACTTTTGCGTTGTTGATATATGTAGTTACTTGGTCCCTTTCGCTTTCAGGAATACCCAATTCTGGAATTGCTATTCCCACAAAGTAGTGGTCGGCCAATTTTTCAGCAATGACATGAGCTTTACAGTATTTTTTGCTCCTAATGCAAATATGGTCAATACATGATCTTGTCAATTGCAAACCCAAAACTTCTTCTCTCGTAACATCTTTAATCATTGATTGAAGTCCATGTTCAGCCAAACAATTTAGGTACTTGTCTACTAGATTACTTTGCTTAGTTATATCAATATTTATATCTCCAGTAATTATTAAATTTTTCGAATTCTCTATTTTTATCCAGTTATCGATATCGTCAATGAATTCTGGTATATTTCCTTGAGGTGCCCTATATAGTGCCAGAATTTGTATCTGTTCCTTTTCATTCTCAATATCTATTTGTACTGCTTCTGCCCTCGAAAAAGTTATTTTTTTACTATTCTTTATATTCCACTTTTTATTGACCATAACCATGATTCCACCTCCTCGCTTGTTCTTCCTGTTATTTGTAATCGTTTCAAAACTTTTATTTTGGAATAATGCTTCGTCGCAGTCCTTTATGTTCGTTTCAGATATAACTAAGCAATCAATAGAGTTCATGAATGGATCAAGAAGTAGGTTCATTTCACTGCAGAGTTTCTTCAAGCTCCGTATATTTACATGTAACAAAATGAAACTGGTTTCCTTTGCTCCTGGTGAAATCTCTTTCCACCATTCCTTGAGTGATGAAATCGTTTGTTTTCTTTCCATGTCACCCATAGACTGTAGCGGCTGCATTTACATTGCACTTACTTTATTTTTACCTGGTCCCCTTCGTTCTCAATCCGGATAGTTGGTGCGCCTTCTTCTTTTCGCACATACGTACAACCTTCTTTGTGCCAAATAAACCTGTACCCCATGCTTTTTTCCTTCGCTCTTGCGTCAAAAAACGTCTTTCTGTTTAGTGCAGTCATGTTTTCTTAGATAAAAATTGTGCCGGTATCATCGCCGCACCTCAACTTGCTCTTGTTTCGTAGCCACACGTTCCTATCGTTACGATTGATAAATCGCACTATCACCATGGGCGTTTTGCTGCCTTTGTTTGGAACCCGGTGCACCGCTTCGACGCTATCAACTTTTAATCTAGGCACCTCTATTTTGTCAGCAATTTGATTCAGCTTTTCGAGCAAGTTTTCATCCTGGGTTTGCACTAACCCATGTATACTTCTAGATTGTTCATTCTTCCGTACTGCTCCAGCCTGTTTAAATCTTTCGTTAGTTGTGACGTTTCGTCAGTTGCCTTCTCCTTTTCGAGCACGGCGATTCTTTTCTTCAGCTCTTTAATTTCGGTGTCTTGTTCCGCCATTTTCTTTAACACCTCGTCGTACTTGTCCGACATAGTCTGCATAGATTTTTCAATGTCTAGCACTGTTTGTTTTACAGTCATCAACTCATCTACTTGTTGTTTCAGCGGCGTGAGTACTGCCAACATCCTTGTCATTTCTGTCAGTTGTTTTTGTATGTTTGTGGTATCATCCGTATTGCTCCTAGTTCTCACTTTCGCTCCCCGACAAGTTTGACATTTCCAGGTTTCTTTACATCCCGTTTTTTTTCCGCGAAAGGTGCTTTCGCTAGTACCCGAGCAAGCGCCAAGGTGATAACAAAAGTGACACTCGCAACATTTTAACACACTCTCTTTCTCGTTATCTTCAATACTTTTTTTACAGCTTAAAGGAGCTGTGCAACAATTTCAGGGCTTTGCTTAAATAATTGTGGAAGTTGATGCAGTGAACTTCTGCAGTGAACTACAGAAAACAGATTTTGCCTGGATACCCTAGTTTTTACTTAAAAAAATGAAAAAGATCCAGGTTTTTGCCGCCTCTCAACTCGTGCATCGTCTTCCGGGTCACGTGCACAGTGACGTCACTAGAGTAGGCGCGGAGTTCCGGAAAAGTTCTCTCTTTAGAGCCATCAGCGAGCAGCGAGAACTCATCCGCTACCGACTGCGTGACCACCCGTCCTTGCCCGTCCGGCGCTGTTCCCCTCCCCCTCCGGCTTCTGGCGGCTGTTCGCGGTTTTGTGGACCTAGGATAGATGGCGCCACTAAAACTCCGTATAATAAAAGTTGTCGATGATACCAGGGTGTTGACGCATTTATATATACGTTGGAACGACAAGATTTGTAAAAAGAGTTACCTTTTATCGAGCAGGTATTCGCACAACTTGCTATCTTTCTTACAACGACCCAAGTGACGTCACGCCGCTTGTTTCTCATGGCCGCCGCTCGTGGCTGCAGGTCGGGAAATATTCCAAGTTTTGCCTCGCTATTACGCGGCGGAATCGCAACATTGCGATGAAAGGAGGTGTGTTTTCTGCCATTTGTGACACAGTGAACAATATCAAAAGCAGAAAATGCCAATTCTTTCAACGTTAAAATCGTTGCACAGCTCCTTTAAACACCTTTCATCAAGATCGTTTGCTCTAGCCATATTCGTGAACACTCGCAACGGTCAGTCAGTCAGTCAGCGACAGGGATTAGCTCTGAATTTAGTAGGAAACGAAAATCTTCCCACCTGCGGATGCAAGTTCTTTTAGTTTTCGCTCTCGAGCCCTGTCGCTGACTGGCAGCTGTCGTCGGGCGCTCCTCTTTATGATGTCCTGGTGTCGCTCTAGTCGCTGCTCTGGTGGCGGTTGTCCTGAACGGTCCGATGTGGCAGCGTTCCTCCGGTGACTTCGCTGTTGGTGGATCCGCCCCTTCAGCTTCGGCTCTCTCCTTTGCTGTTATCTGCGGATGCAAGTTCTTTTAGTTTTCGCTCTCGATCCCTGTCGCTGACTGGCAGCTGTCGTCGGGCGCTCCTCTTTATGAAGTCCTGGTGTCGCTCTAGTCGCTGCTCTGGTGGCGGTTGTCCTGAACGGTCCGATGTGGCAGCGTTCCTCCGGTGACTTCGCTGTTGGTGGATCCGCCCCTTCAGCTTCGGCTCTCTCCTTTGTTGTTATCTACGGATGCAAGTTCTTTTAGTTTTCGCTCTCGAGCCCTGTCGCTGACTGACTGAATATGGCTGAATTCCACTCTTTGCTGACTTCTCTGTATTAAACAAAAACAAAAAACAAAATCACGATAAGAATATTTGAGGCCCAAGAAATTGGTAGATTGGGGTTGCAGCGTGGTCAGCACACCCTCTGTCTCTTTGTCGGACAAGGAATTACTGTTCCTCAGCCAGGGATGACTAGTCCGAGATTGTGCGATGAGTGATGTCACAATGTTAGCCTTTAAACAATCTGTTCTTGTATATGCTTCATAGCTTGTTTTTGTTAACGTCGGTATATATATTGAGTGACCACGAAAATCAGTTTCAGTTGTAATTAGCGCCGTGTCTGAGTCTTCCTTTATGCCTTTTTTCTTTTTTTGTTTCGATTTTTAACTATTATGAATAAAAGTGTTCAGCGGTATTTATTCCATCAAATCTGCCTAGGAAACAGGACCTCTGAATTAGGAAGTTGTTAGTGGATCCCTGAGCCGACGCAAGCGGAAATGAGTTGACGCTTCAGGAAACAATGGCGCTTAATGACAGGCACGTTTGTCTTGGCGTCACCGCGTGCTTGCGTCGCGCTCGTTGTGAGACGCTGAAAGAGGCCATAGCGGCGATGCTGAGGTGTCTCGTCGCTCCTCGCAGCCAGTAAAGTGAGGTTCGTGAGAATGAAGCCAGTTCAGACGTCGCCGTCAAGACCCCACGCTGTGTGAACGCGACACCGATGACCCACAACTTCGGCCTGGCATATCGTAGCTATCGCGTTCCCTGTACCGTAAAATCAGACAGAACTGCTCATTTTTCACCTGAAATTTAACATTTGGAGAAATGACCCTCTTAATTCATTACTGCTCATACTTACTCCGATCGTTTTTAGCTCTTTTTTTTCTGCACACTTAGAGTTTATATAATTTGTATTTGGTGGAAATGCTGTATGCTTTTGTCGTTATGACTGGATGAACTGATTATTAACTAATTTGTATTTTTGTTTTGGTTTATTTGGTTGGGCACCGATTGTCTTATGCTTTGCTGTGGCAATTCTTTTTCTTCTTTTTCACTCCCTTTTTTTTAAACCGCACGTAATACTTTTTTTGAAGGATCCCATGACATATTTTAATTATTACAAAATTATAAATGATCTGAAATTTTGACATACTAGAAATTTTCCAGCACTTGACCTTCGGGTTTCAAAGTGGGTATCTTTATACCTTGCTGGAGTGTCCCGATATTTTCTGCATCTTTCTATGCATTTCTTATGAGTAGAAAACAACTCGATGCGCTACTTACAATGCTGTTTGGAAGACGCCTTGAAGGGATCAAGAAAATCTAAAATTCTTACCTTCCACTCAATTTCGTCAGGGCCGTCATAGGTTACCGCAAGGTTAGTCACATCATGACTGCCGAGCCTTGTGTACGTTGGATGCTTAGTAGGATTTCCTGCGTAGTTGTAGTTTGATCTGCACACCTGTGATAAAAGAATCGCGAATGTAGACAAAATACTTTCAGTATGTACTATAAGATTAGGCTTTTATGCGGATTCGTACGATATGTTTCTCGTGCCTTTTATTTTGCCTTAAAACGTTTTCAATAGGTTAAACACTTTCGGTGTTTAGATTGATGTATACTCCACATTCCTTTGATATTGACGATAGTATTGACAACGCAGTTGGTCACTTGTAATACCGAAGAAAGGTTTGAACTTGTTTCTTGACCGTTTTCATGAACTACGTCTACATGATGTGAAAAATGTTGTTGTTTTGCGTTTTGAAGAGTGGAACATACACCTTCGTTAAGTCAATTCAACATTTTAAAATAGAGAAAAGCTTGGCGCAGAGCGCAGGCACCAGCGAAATAATTTGAAAATAGTTTTTTTTTAATACTTCAGCAATTAGTGGGTCACTTCTGGGCTTCGCGCCGTATACCGAGCTCCATTTCGAACATGGACTTTTTTGTGACTTGGAATAAAATTCTACATGGACCTCACGCTGCTGACGTAACGCCGCTCGCCACGACCCTGACGTAACGTCGTGCATAACTTTTCCTATTTCCTAGTGTCAGCTGAGACCATCACGTGACACTCTCATGTCAAGTCAGATTGCACAGTGACGTCACATGTATTAACGACGTCAGATTACACCGTGAGTCACGTGATGTCGTGCCGTCACTCGGCACTCTGTCGTCACGTGATTAAAATAAATCGTTTTTCTAAATTATGGCAAAAATGTTCCCCCGCAATAAAAAAGAAATAAAGCTAGGTGAGTGTTAAACCGGCGAAATCACTGGCGTTAAATTCGGGAGAGCTACATGTTTGAAATTTGAGTGCTCAATTTCGAAAGTGCTCTCGATTGACCAAGAGTCGGTGTTTGTTCATGGCCAAGCAGCCACAGCACGACAGAGAACGGTTCATGCATACACATGCAGTTTCGTCGTTCCCTGGATCTCAAACTTAAGCGCGCGATTTTCGAAGTTTTTTACAATTACCATGAGTCAGTCCTACGTTGTGTCCAATAAAATTGTTCAACAGGCTCACGAAATGTTTTTTTCCTTATTACACCATCATTGGTCCCAAAATGCGAAGGAATTTTCGTCCTGTGTGTTGCTCGATGGAGTACGGAACGGCTATGCGGACTCGATGGTGCGCACTCGTGCTTTTAAGTTGATTCACTCCGTCTGCTGGAAATGACTCCTTAGAGGCTGCGACGTCACAACTCAGGTGTCGCAGTGTTTTACCTTCAGGGTAATGTAAATCTTTACGAATTTCTTATATAGGTTTTGTATAATAAGGAACAACGTTTCATCTTACGAGCACAATAGTTTAGCACAAATCCCTACTTCTTCATTTTACAAAAAATACTCTATAACTTGATATATTACAGAAATACATAGTTGTTACTAAACTAGTTACATTTTCGCCTGAACGTTTGAATATATATATATATATATATATATATATATACAGGGTGTTTCACAAAAGGTGGACAAATTCCATATTTTAAGAACTACTCGCCGCAACAAAAAAAAAAAAGGCTACTTTCGTTTCAGCCCGGGGCCAGGGGCGTATTTAAGAAAATGATAGAAGTCCGGGATAATTCGTGTGTTAATTTTCTTGGCGTAATTAATTTGCTTATTTTTTGTGATTAAAGGCAAGGTTTTAATTAGAAAATTTCCCAGCATCATAGAAAAAGCACTAAATCAACAAAATGCAGAACAATAAAAGACACACGAAGCATATTACGGCTTTCTGAAAAACCTCACAAATACGGCTGGTTTTAAAGTTACGGTTTGCAATCGAAGCGCATCTCGGCCCCGACGGCACCGCGCCCCGTGGAGAGATAGGGCAACCAGCCTCTGCTGCGTTGCGCGAGGACAGCGCAGCAGAGGTTTGTTGCACTATTTCTCCACCGGGCGCGGAGCCGTCGCGGCCGATATGCGCTTCGAATGCAAACCGAAACTTAAAAACGCGTCGAATTTGTGCGGTTTTTAAAGAAATCGTAAAATGCTCTGCGTGCCTTCAAGAGTTTGCAATTTGTTGATTTAGAGTTTTCCGATGATGCTGAGCAATTTTCTAATTGAAACCATGCCTTAAATACAATATTACAAAAGTTGATTGCGCAAAAATAAATAACAATCTAATTATCCCGGACTCTAATAATATTTTTTAACTAGCCCCCTGGCCCCAAAAAAAAAATGACGGAAGCCTTTCTTTTTTTTTTTTTTTGCGACCCGTAGTTTTTGCAGTATCGAATTTGTAACCTTTTCGTGATTCTTTCAGATTTGTTTAAAAAAGTCGTGAAACCCATATTTATGCTGTTTGTGCAGGTGGGTTATACGGCCAGGCGTACATTACATGGGCGGCTAATCTTGGCAATAAGTCGGCTAATTAATTAAAAGTCGTTACTTAATTTTTCAATTAATGAATATAGACATACGCTTCTAATTAAAAACTTGTAGAGCATCATCGAAAACCACTAAATCAACTATTCTTAGAAAGATATAATGCCGGGGCAGCATTTCACGGCGTTCTGTAAAAACGCTCCATTTGGAAGCGTTTCTAGATTTCATTTTCTCATCGGAGTGCATCATTGCGCCCGCGGTCCTGCTCCCTGGTGGTCGCGGCGCGAAGCCACCCTTTCGTCTCCCTCGTAGAACGGAGGGAAATAGGGCGCGCGTGTGTTGCGCGTCTCAGCCACTAGGGAAGAGGACCGCGGGTGTATATATATATATATATATATATATATATATATAAAGTTGAAAATCCCAAGTCAGAGAAACAAAAACACGGAAGGTTTATTTCAAAGTTTTGGCAAGAGTCTTGCCTTCGTCAGGAATGGCAGCACAGTTCATGTGTGACGCGTTTTATCCAAATCCTTAAAAAAAGAGAGAGGGGGAGGGGAGGGGACAACATTTGGAGGTCGCGAGAAAGCATGACCAAGCATGGGGACAATACAAAAAACAAAATGAAGGGGGGAGAAGCAACTAGACCGGACAAGATGACGAGGGTTTTACCAGATAAACATACAAAGGGCGTAAAAGTCAACAGTACTACAGTAGAAAGAAAGTGGTAACAATGCATGACCTAAATATTGTTCTCCCTGCAATATGAGAAGTTAGCGAACGGAAGCTCTTGGAATGGGCCAGAATACAGAACTTAAAAAGAGGGGAGGGGGGGGGGGGGGGAGAGAGACACGGACACTGGTCATACCCTGTTTCTAGCCTCAAGTTCGGCACCACTAGATAATAGAGTCTATAGAAGTTTGTGTTCAACACTCTATTACGCCTGGCACTTATTGTCTCGGTTTTGATAGCAATTCGATTGATGCGAGCGTTCCGGGGCTTTCGTTTATGCCTTTTTCAATTGTGTTGAGATGATAAATAAGATAGGACTCGCGTTGTTCACGTTCTCGGTTTGACTTGAATCCTGTCTCTAAGAACGTAACCGTTAGTTTATCGAAATAGTGTTTTGGCAGGCACACATGTTTTGAAAGAGGAAGATTTGGGAGAGATACTGCGTGCACTCTATGGTTGTTAAAGCGCAATCTAAAAGCTGTTTCGGTTTGTCCTACGTATTGCATGTCGCATACGCTACACTGAAGCAGGTTAAAACGTTTGATGAATCGCACGAGAGCTGACTTCGGATCTTGATATTGAATTGCAAACCGGTGCTGCTGGCTGTGCTGGTTTCTCGCATTTGTTTGCATATTAGACATTCAGTTTTCGTGCAGGGTTTGCATCCATTATTAGACTGTGACAGATTTAGTTTGGATTTCACTAGGGTATCTTTGAGGTTGCGCGATCGTCGATAAATTACGCCAGGTGCTGATGGAAACGCGCGCTTAAGACGTTCACTTTGTTCGAGGATATTATAATGTCGTCTCAAGATGTTATTCACTTGAGGATAATTGCTGCTATATGTGAGGCATAGGTTAGTGCGTTGTGTGTCACGTTGCTTTGTGCGGTTCTCCAAGAGATGAGCGCGGTTCAATTCGGAAGCTTTCTTAATTGCGTCGTCAATCACGCGGGGGGGGGGGGGGGGATATTTCTGATGCCTGAGTACCAGTGTTGCGGAATGGGCACCCCCCTTACATTCCAATTCCATTCCCGGGAATTAGAGTTTTCGATAATTCCATTCCTTTGAACTCCTAGGAATGGGGACACTGGGCCCATTCCCACTCCTGGAATGCCTGAGTCGCTCCATTCCATTCCTCCAATTCCTAAACGTTAAAAGTGTCACTTGACAGCTGCTATACATTGCAGTGTCGGGCAGAAATGTTCAGAAATGTATTTGGAAATACAAATACTGGGATAGATGAAAATAGTTGCTAAGATACTGATACTCAAGTCTCAAATATATCTATAAAAATGTACCGTGATACGTATCGGAAATACATTTTAAAAAGAGGAAAATTTGGAAATACAAATACAAGAATACAATTTAGGGAGGGCAGAAGTATAAATATTGATAATACAATACATTTTTTCAAATTTCAATAAGACGCCAACTGAGATGACGCTTTAAGTTTGAAGTGGAAGTTTCTGTTTTTTTGTTGTTTTTTTTTTTTGGTCCCGAAATTACTTTTCTGCAGGCTTGGCACTTCGCCTTGAAGGTAGTGGTTCCAGACGAAGAGTCCTAAATAGGTTTAAAAAACATTCCATCAAGGATTGACCGCGGTCCATTCCCTAGCATCCTGTCTGACTGACCAGTGATGCGAAAAGACTTCGACCTCTAAAATAAATTCCATCAAAACATCTCCACTTCCCTGTCCAATAGGGGCGCCCCTGTCAGCACTGATCACATGACGTCACGGTGGGATGAACTAGTATTCTTGAATCTGTAGGTGTTGCCTTGAACATGAAACTTTACCCACACTGCTGTATGAAAGGACAATACATACTTTCGTTGTAGCTGACCTCGTTGAAGACCATGCAGGCAGTTGCATTTGGAATTTTCAAGAAAAGTGAACCCCC